AGTGAGACTCACTCAGCCTCCTTCCTTACTTGAAGGAAATAACAGGTGAAGTCATAAAAATGTTGAAAAGTTAACAAGAGAGCTTGGAGGACAAGTACTTCACATATACGGGCCTGCTGGTATAAAGGTATAGAGTCAAAACTGAGAAGGGTAGGCAAAAGGAAGGATGGGATACAGGCTAGCACCAAACGGTCTAAATAAATTTGAGGGAGGCAGTCACTCCAGGTGGCATGCCCCTTGCTCCCCAAAGTGTGGTCCATGAGCCAGGAGCATTGGGCTCACCTGGGAGGCTGTTAGAAGCGCAGACTCTAAGTTCCCACCCCAGGCCTGCTAAACGAGACTCTGCGTACGCAGCGTGAGGAGCACTGCCAACCCCTAGTGGTGGCATTCTCCGTTTTTGCCTGCCCAGTTTCCAGATTCGATTTGGGGGGAAACTTCTCATTTTCAGAACCTATGGTTCAAGTATGGGCTGACCCTGTTCTCTGGGTCCAGAGCAAGGCACCAGATCCAGGCCTGGCCAATGGGAGCCCCTCTCCTGGCCCAGCCACCGTGGTTGGTTCAACAAGGTGAATGTATTAGAAGCTGAGCCCATGAGAGTCCACGCGGGGCCTTTAGAGAAACAAGTGCTCTCCTTCCTGAGTTCCCTGAAGTGATAGGATGAAATCTGGAGCTTCCCTATTTCCATGGCCCGAGATTGAAGCCAACATAGAAAAGTGGAACTGAGGAATGGGTGAGAGATCCTAACAGCATCATTTATCTACTAGCTGCTAGATCTATATTCTGCACTTTTCAGCAACTCAAGCTCGTAGAGTCCTGGTTTTCTCTGGCCAGTTCAAATGGAGTGTCTGCTACTCGCAATTGAAGGAATCAATAACCAGCGTCTTCCTGCCACCCCCCCCACAAAAAAAAAAATTAGTGAGGTTCGTTCTGAACTCATGATGTTTCCTTTTCCTGTCTTCTCCACAAACTAGACCAATATTTCAAGGTCTCCCTTCAGATTTGCGTCCTCCATGAGGCCTTTCAGATTGCTTCCCCCCACCCACCACCACTACCAGTGAGCCGCTATATCCACGTGGTTCCATGCTCTCCCCTCTGTTGCTGCCAGTTTCATGTCTCTCCCACTCCCACTCTGCCTCTTTGCGTGGTCCACGCTACCCAGCCCTCAGACAAACCAAGAAAACTTGAGATGCCCTTATTATATGTTCTTGTAGCGCCTTCCTCTCTCCTCTGCACCCCCCTTTATGGACCTTATATTTGGAACTATGTCTCTGCCAAATAGCACACTTCATGGAGGGAGGTGAGTGGATGGTTGTCAAAATGAACCCTGGATCCAGACTGCCTGGACCAGCTGTGTGACCTTGGGCAAGTCTCTTAACCTCTCTGTGCTGCGATTTCTGTCTCCGTAATATGAAGAGAGTAAGAGAACCCCTCGTGAATGCGACTGCAGTAATTTATGTAAAGTACTGAGAACATGCCTGGCGCATACTAGCCACTGTATAGAATAGCTGCCATTATTATGCCTCTGATTATTTGATTAGTGTCCGATTCCCAAGCCTGGTCAGACATGAAGAGACTGAGAGGCAGTCCTGTTTCCACTCACCATTTTACACCTAGAGAAACACACAGTTCCTGATCCATAAGAGGAGCCAAGAGAGTGAACATTAAATTATTGGACAATTGCCTCTCTCCAAGTGGCCTGGAAGCTCCTGGAGGGAAAGAAGCTTGTCTTGTGCATGTGTAAAAAAAAAAAAAAATCTCATCCGGTCCCAGGCACCGTGCCTGGCACATTCTTTCCTTTCCTTTTTTTTCCTCATTGCCAAATAGGTTATTGCAGCTCATTTGATATGCAAATGCTAGTAAACATTTGGCTGTCCAAGGGGAAAATATTTTGCTGGCTGTAGAGTTTGCAACCAGAGTGGTTTCTGTGGATTATATTCCAATTCTGTGAGGAACTTTATGGCAGCCTTTTCTCCTTTTCAGCGTGCGTCGGACACCTGTCTACTAAGGACATACCTTGCACCAGGAGCTGTGCGAGCGGCTGGCGATCCTAGGATAGAAGAAGGCGGTCCCGGGGTTCGTACTGCTCAATTTCTAATGCAGTGTTCATTGGCATTGTTTACGGATATTTTTGCTACTTTTTGCATGCAATTAGTAGAACATAAGGATAAGCTAACTTTGGAGCGAACATCAAATTAGAGTTCCTACAAGAGGGAGGCTACATGGAAGATCATGAGTGTGTTTAGGGGTGGTTAAGATTCCCTAAGCCTTCGGAACAATGTGCTTATTTTGAAGTGCCAATTGAAATGCCATGGACAGGTTTTTAAACCAGGCTGGAACATGATTAGGTTGTTATTTGCTTCTACATTCTGGTGAACTGAGAGAGAGCTGGCTCCCAGTTCTGGGGAAAGAAGGTTGAAGGAGCAAAAGCCCTCCTTGTGAGGCCAGTTAGAAACCTGCGGGGAAAGAGTCCCAGAGTTGTCAGCAGCCCGGGTTTACTTCAGAAGCAGCAGTGGGAAAACAGGAGTGAACAGACCGGAGGCCTTTTCTGGAGATAGTCAAGCTGCATTTGGTGATTGATAAGGATGAATCAAAGAGGAGTCCCGGATTTCCGACTGGAATGAAAAAAAAAAAAAAAAGTTTTTGTGCGTGTCTGTGTTTTGTTTTTTTCAGGGAGGGGACAAGGGACAGAGGGAAAAGAAGAGAGAGAATCTTAAACAGTCTCCATGCCCAGCGCGGAGCCCCAGGCGGGCCTCCATCTCCCAACCCTGGGATCATGACCTGAGCCCAAATCAAGAGTCGGATGCTTAATGGACTGAGCCACCCAGGTGCCCCAAGAATGTCACTTTTTACCATAGGGAATGCTGAAGGAGAAGGTTCAGGTGTAGATGGTTGGAAAGAAGCGAGATTAGTTTCAAAGGTGTTGTGCTTCAGATAATCATGAAAAACCTGGATAGTTATATCAAGTACAAATCTGGGACTCAGAAGAAATATCTGGATTGGAGCTACATCTGGAAGTAATTAATATATAGGAGATAACGCAGGCCATACAGTTATGGATGAAATTGTCTAGGGAGTGTGTAGAGTGAGAATAGACCAGGGGAGAGCCATGAAGAGCTCCACCATGGAAGGATCCGGTGGGGGGAGGAAGAGGATCCAGAGAAAACGAATGCAAAGCTTCTAAAGTGGTAGAGGAAAAGCCAACCAACGGGCCACACTGCAAAAGCCAAAGAGTATTTCAAGAGGGAGCGAGTAGTCAAATGGATCAGATGAAGCCAAGAGATCAAAGAAGATAATAGTAGTAACAACATTCAATTCTTGAGCAAGGCTTTAAGATGTATTTAACCCTTCTGACACCCCTTTGGGGAAGGCAATAACCATAATCCCCATTTTAGAGAAAACTGAGGCTCAGAAAGTGTTAAGGGATCTGACCCCGATTCCTGTACGTGACGTCTCAGGGGTCCTTGACTTCTCTCAAGGGCGGTCTGCAGAGGATGGTTAGGATGGACCACCCGTTGGTAAGCGAAAGGGAAGTGAAAAGACAGTTAAGGTATTTGGCTTTGAAGGGAGAGAGATGGGGTGTTAGGGGGTCAAAGAGCTCAAGTACCTTTAATGTACCAGGCTCTGCGCCTGGTTTGCAAGCACCTGCCTAATCAGGCTGTGCCCCACCTCTCCCAAACCCTCACCCAAGTAAGGCCATCGTTCCCATTTCCTGCTTCCAGGTCTTCAGGTTCATCATGACTCCCCTGAACCCACCCTCAGCCAATTCTTCTTCCTTCTCTTTCCAGTCCCCTCATTCCTCAAAAGTCAATTCGAACCTGACCCCTGGAGGACGTCTTCTCAGTCTCATCTTCCTTGGCAAGTTTTGATCAAAGGTCACCTTCTGTATGTCTCCAGAAACCTCAAATCCCTGGCACAATGCCACCCACACAACAGGAGGCTCTCCGTTGGCAGGAACATTATTTTACCGGAAACTCTTGGCTCGCCAGATGAGAACCATTTTACTCACCATCCTGCTTTCCCGGTGGTTTTCTCTTTTCTCCAAGATCTGATCTGAAGCCTGTAGAAATGACAGCCTTTGAGGCTAAGGGGGAGGCGGGGCCTGGAAGCCAAGTGAGCCGTAAGGAAGTTGAAGCGAGCGAGTCTCCCTTAGAGATGAGGTTTTCTAGAGAGAGATTTGGCAATAAAACAGAGATCTCAGCAGCTTAAGGGGGGGCAACAGAATCCGGAGAAAGGTTTGATCATATTATTTGTCCCTTTTATCATGATGAGCAGTGTGGTGAGACCCTGAGTATGTTTGTCGTCCAAAAATGAGGGGCTAGTGAACGTAGCAGGGAGGCTTGATGAAGGTCGCTGTTAGGAGGGTAGAGAGACAGGTCAGCAGCCCTAGAGCTTTGGAAAGGAAAAAGTCCATCCATTAGGTTGAGAGAATTAACATGAAATAGCCTCCATCTTCTCAGTAAAGCAGGCAGGAAGAGAAGCTCCAAGGTCACTCCTTGGGTCATCCCATAGGTTTTGACTGCTTTGTTCAGCACTATATCCCTCAGAAGAGTAAGACACCTAGTAGGTGCTCAATAAATACTTGTCGAATGGGGGATTTGATTGAAACTGTTTGAAAGAAGATGGGAAGATCTCCAAGCATAGACTTGGTAGGTAAGGTGAATAGCTGTTCTATAGCCTGATCAGACCCAGAGCGGGTTTCATTGGGGGCATTTACATTCCAACTATGCCCATAAACACTGTTTTCAATAAAGGGAACAGATGTAGGTCTTGTTGCCAAATGATACCCTCATGCCCTGGCAGCCCATGTGTGGTCATCTCCAAAGCTTTAATAAACCCCGTCGCCACCTGGTGGGAGGGCAGGGTTTCACATGTGGCTCTTGGAATGAGTTGTCCTTTGGGACAGTACCTGTAATTAATTCTCCTCTTTGGTCCTGCCCTTCTAGAAAGCTGGCAACCCTTGAAAACAAGCTACGACCATCCCGAGCTCTCTCATGGTTCAGCTTTGGCCCCAGTGAGGGGGTTAAGGCTGTACTATTCTATTTCTTCTTGGAAAATGAAGTCAGGCCAGATTAAGGGTGCCACTGACAAGGCCATGTGAGCAGCATCCTCCTGGTGGTGGCCGCAATGCTCTGTACCTTGTAAAGCTCTGTGCGCATCCTATCCATCACTTACCATCAGGATGACCCCAAAGCGGTAAGCTGTTAGCAACTGACTGGCTTAGAAAGCTGTAGTCATTGATTAAGCCTTTCAAGATTTGCGTGAACTTAGGCAAATGGATTCAAGAGTTTCAGGAGTATTACTTAATTCAAAGAATTACGAACGGCTTATGCTGTTTTGTTGGTGTCCTGGTTCAGTTGGAACCTTTGTAACAGATACTGCAGGTGCTTTCATTTTAGGCACGCTGTACCCATTGCTGTGTGAACGTTTGTTTAAAAAAAAATAAGGACAATTCCAGCTAGCTTACTTTTACTTTTATATTTTTTTATTATCCTAAGGAGATGGGTTAATTATGAGTCGTTTGGCCAAAGTCAGTGTTAAACAAATGAGTTTCAGCAGCAGCTACGCCTGATTCCTATGGATTATTAGAACTCTTTAAAGAGCTATTATTTTGACAAAGCACAAAGCATCAAACTTTTCCGTTTTTTAATCTTTTTAATTAAAATATACATTAGGAAGGCGCATACATCTTAAGTGAATGGTCACAAAGCGGATACACCTGTGCACCCACCACCCAGGTAAAGGACTAGAACATGACCAGCATCCTGAAGCCCTTCCCCAGGCCTCTCCAGGTCCCTGACCTCTCTTCCCCAAGGGTAAGACCTATCATGACTTCTAACACCGTAGCTTAGTTTTGCCAGAGTCTCTTGTTTGTGTGTGTGTGTTGTATAACCTTTTTTTTTCTTCCCTGGTTTCTTTTACTCAGTATTATGTTTGTGAGATTCAGTCATGTTACTCAGAAAAGCTGTGGCTCATTGGTTTTTGTTACTGTATAGTATCCCATCATCTGAAAGAGCCAACAATCTGTTTACAAATTCAACACTGGCAGATATTTTGTTTTTTTCCTAGCCTGGAGCTATTACCAAAAATACTCCTGTGAGCATTGTCTGTGCTCCTTGGGGTATACATGCACACATTTCTGCATGTGATGACAGTCATAGAGCATGCACGTGTTCAGCCTGGGGAGATAATGCCAAACACGTTTGTGTCAAATGGTCATACTCACTGACCCTCACACTACCAGAGTGTCAGGTCTCTTTGCTCCACCTCCTCCCCATCCCTAGCATTATCTTTTTAACTTTAGCCATTTTGGTGAGTGTGTTTATGTATAAATATATATTTTATAATTGTGTGTATATATTTATATAGTCATATATAATATAGTTGTATATATACGTGTTTGTGTGTGTATGTAGCTATATTTCATTGAGGTATTAGGGTACTGTATTTTTTTTTTCAAAATTTTACTTATTTATTTGAGAGAGAGAGAGAGAACTAGTGGGGGAGAGTGGCAGAGGAAGAGAGAAAGAGAGAGGGAGAGAGGAAGCAGACTCCCCACTGACTAGGGAGCCTGATGTGGGGCTCGACCCCAGGACCTGGAGATCAGGACCTGAGCTGAAGGCAGACACTTAACTGACTGAGCCCCCCAGGTGCCCAGAGTACTGTATTTTAATAAACAACTAATTTTGTTTCCTTTAATAGCAGAACAGGGAAAATCATCTATGATTTCATAAGGATCATTAAAATCTTTTTGGTAATGAATGCACATCATCCTGTTTCCTTCTAGGCCCATCTCAGTGATCAATCCATGTCCCAACTGACAACAATGTGACACATCCATCAGAACCATCTAGCAAACAGAAGGATTCTTCTGTGTCTTTGAAACAGAACAAGGGAAATAGTCGATTACTATAAGCAATAACAGAAAAACAACAAAATTTTTAAAAAACGAAGCATAAACAGTAGAATAACTGAATATTACAGTTAGATTCATGTAACTCAACCAACCCAAAGCCAAGAGAGGTTAAATGATTAAGACCCAGATCAATTGCAGACAGAGCCAGAAGTAGAATTCAAATCCCCACCCTCTTACCCTTTAGGATACCCAAATTTTTAGTCAGTGGTCTTTCTGTAATCTGAAATGTCTTTAAATTTAATTTCCCAAAATTCAGAATAATTTCATAAGTGCACTAAGTTAACCATGAAAAAGATCACTATGTCTTGTGTTAAAAAAAAAAAAAAAAGATTTTATTTATTTACTTTACAGAGAGAGATCGTGCACACAGGGATGGTGGTGGATAGGGGCAGGGAGAGAGGGTGAAGCCGACTCCTCATCCCAGGACCCTGAGATGATGACCTGAGCAGAAGGCAGATGCCTGACAGAGCCACCCAGGCATTCCCCACTATGTCTTGTTAAAGAACAAAGTTAAACTGAGTAAATTGAAATATCAAATTGCCTTTATTTAAGACCCATGAGTCAGCAGCATCCCATCTAACAAATAGAGTATTCCAAGGAATTGAACCAAGTAGAAAGCTTTGAGAGGCAGAAGAGGATGGGATAATAAAGTTAAATAGCAGAAGAAAAGAAAGGATGGTTTCAGGCAAGGTCACCTTCCCTTAAGGGCAAGGGCAGGGGGTCTTATGCAGATTACCTCACTGGAGCTGGTCAGGAAATTCCAGACTGATGAGTTTAAAACCGAGAGAGGCTCAAAGTGCAGTTAGGTTAGCCGGGAAGTCTTGGAGCAACTCCATTTGGGGCCTATTGTTTCTTTTTTAACAGTTCCCACCCCTCTTGGTCAAACTTTCAGCCTGAGATGTGATCAAAATTGAAGGCATTAGCACCATCTCAGCTCCTGCTCTAGTTCTCACTGCTTTCATTCATCCTGGGTTTTGCTGACTCTCTGTGGTACTCACAGGTCATGACTTCAGGCTCACAGTTTTTTAGTTGGTCATTGTCTTTGTTCCCTTTTTGTCATTCCAGTCTTCGAGAGAGATCATTTACATAGTGGTTAGTGCTGCAAACATGTATTTAAAGCTCTCGGGAGAATACAGCACACCAGGGAGATTATTGTAACTATAAGCAGCATAATTCCCAACATTTGAAGCATACTTCAGAGCCATGGCCCCTAAGAACAAACCAATCAAAGAATGACCCCATTGACCAAGTCACCCTTTTTAAACCAAGTGGTTTGCTGAGTAATCTCACATAACTGAGTTGCAGCTTCCCCAGAAGTGTTAATCCAGGTACAGCTAGTTCAGTTGGCTACAACACAGACACCTCCTTACTCAGAACAGCTTTGGCCCGAGAGTCTAAGGATCTTTGCTGGGTAGCTAGTGTCTTAGCAACAGAATCTGCAGTGTCTCTAAGAGTTAAGGAGAGGTTTCGAATCATATTCTCATTTGTATTTATTCCTAAACTGGGGGGCAGTCAGGGTTTTAGCATGTATAGGGAGAGAATCTCCAAACCTGAAATAAAAAATCATTTTAAGTGCCTTACAAAGATGGGTGCTGCTGGTGTGCTCTCTTAACGAATGGGGACAGATCTGGTCTAGATGATCACGGGAACCTAGGGTTCAAATGTCCTAAGATTCACATAGGTAAATTGTCTAATTGGGTACATACTGCTAAGTGGGGAGCAGAGAGGGGGCGCGTTCAGGCATAATTTGCATTGACATTGGGATTCCAAGAGAAATTTTGGTCCCAGGGAGGATTCTTTGCATCATGACAAATCTAGCAATCTGAGAGCTAATCCCCACCCCCTTAGCAATGGCCTGAAGGATACAAGCATGGGCATTCTCTCTCCAGGCCAATGCCAGAGTGAAAAAAAGATAAAGGAGATAGGGCTTCATGTCTAGTTAAAGTATGAAATCTTGATCCAGCGTCTTGACTGAAGGCAGTCTACTTGGATGTCAGCTACTTCTCTTCCTTGTCAATTCAATTTGTAGGTCTGCCCAGGGCCAGATGTCAGGTGGAGACTTCTTTATCAGTGAGACAAGTACTGATTGTCTAGAGACTCAGGGTGTTCTAGATTTGCAGTAGAGTGTGGTCAGGAGTACTTGGTAAGGTCCCTTCCGATGAGGCATAATGAGGCTGTCTTCCTCTGAGGACACTCCCAGAATACCGAGTTACCAGGCTCTAGACCGTGCCCAACAGGATCCTTTGAAATGGGATCCAGAAAACCTTCTTTAATCTCTTGTTAATATGCTTAAGCATAAGACATAAGCATAAGACTTACTGTAGCTGGTCATACTGGCATGAAAGTTGTATAACTTCAGCAGAAGGTTCTATACCAGTAGACGTGGATCTTTCTGTAACTATCTTGTGTACGGTGACTTTCCCAAAATGTAGTACTGTGAATAATCAGCAAGACCAAAGACAATACTGTCAGCCATGGATATCTGTGGTCTCTGCAAGTTTAGACATTTTTAAGTTTAAAAATCTCGTTTAGTTCCCTCAACCTTGCCTGATGATTGAGGGTGATAGGGACAGTGGTAATCCACAGGAGGTTTGCAAAGTGTTCGTTAAGGCTCATATGATTTGGGGCATCTGGGTGGCTCAGTGAGCTAAGCATTTGCCTTCAGCTCAGGTCACCATCTCTAGGTCCTGGGATGGAGCCCCCCTTCAGGCTTCCTGCTCAGCCGGGGGTCTATCCCTCTGCCCCTCCCCACCACTCATTCTTGCTCTCTCTCAGATCAATAAATTTGCTCTCTCAAATCAATAAATAAAATCTTTAAAAAAAAAAAAAAGGCTCATGACTAGCCTAGTGAAGTGGGAACCTTGATCACTGGAGAATGTGGAAGGTATACCCCAAATGGGAAACTCATTTTCCAACAGATTCTTTGCCACTGTGAGGGCATCAGCCTCGTGGCAGGGGATGGCTTCAGCACACCTGGAAAACCCACACATGATAACAAAAATATATTGCTAACCCATACCAAGTAGCAGTTGAATGAAGCCCAGCTGCAGGCATTCAAAGGATCCAGAGGGAGGAGGTTCTGAGGCTTCTCTGGACAAAAGTATTTTCCCAGGATCATGGCTATGGCAGGTCATACGTGGCTGGTAGATTGTTTTTGCAATTTTATAGAAGCATCCCTACCAATATCTATTTATAATTTGGGTTATCTTAAGTGCCCTGGGGGTGGGGGGTGAAGGAATATGAAAACCTAAAAATGGAGTTAGGTGTAGGTCCAACTGTTGTTTAATTTCAATGTTAACCCATCTTCATTTCTCTGATTCAGGAGCAGACTGTTGCCATGTTACAAGGACATCAGGATCGCAAACATTAGGCAACAAGGAGCTTCTGCTTTTTTGCAGAAGCAGAATGGACTTCGTCCACACATGCCACAATCTACAGATGCTGTTGCCCCTGCCTTGTCATGAGAGCCAGCCGGGACGTTCCCTGGTCCTCCGTGCTCTCAGGGTGAGCCTCAGTTTTGATGACAGCAATTTCAGAAGTTAGGAGAATAGCAGAATAGCAGTAAGAGGACCCATTTACTTGTTGCCCAGTTTTGATTGGGGTCCCAGAGGGTGCAAGAAATCCCCTTTGTCTCCACAACATTCCAAAGTCACAGATGACTCCAAAGGCATCCCAGCTATCCATATCAATATGAGCAGTAAGTTCTTCTGATAACTGGCATGCTCAGGTCAAGCATGGAGCTCTCTGCTGATTGGGTAGATTTAGCTTGTGAGAGCTTTCCCCTTTCCAGCAGGTCAAACTGTGTAAGGACAGCACAAGCAGCCTGAAAATGTCCTTTTTCACCTCTACTCTATGGTCCCATCAATAAGTCAGACGAGATCAGGATTAGTTAGAGGGGTATCTCCTAAGTCAGGATGACGTGTCATGAAATGGGACTCCCTGCCTCAGCCCTGGGGCTCACCTTCATCATGTAGAGGTAGTAACAGAGCTAGATCAAGGGTGCTGCAACATTTAGGTGGTGGAAGCAGATGGATCGAAGGAAGTTAGTCTACCTGCAGAGAAATGTAGTCATTTCAGAGTGAAGACGACTTTGAACAAAGTGTGAAGTTTCCAAGTAAACCCCATTTCCTAGGGTCAGATATCCAGATGCTTCCGCTCACTCCACAGCTGTGGCTCTAGCTTGAAGACAGCTGCGACAGGCACAAGCAACTGACTCACACTGTGCTGTCAGCGGCAGGTCGGTGACCACGTTTGTGCGTGAGCATTCCCAGGGCTTGGTTACCCCCTCCCAGCACAGATAAGGTGAAAGGTTCTAAATACTTAGGTGGCCCTGAGGCGGGTGGCTCTTAAGGCACCTGTTTCTGTCTTCTAAAAATCTGCTCTTGTTTGTCCTTCCTTTTTTTTTTTTTTTAAAGATTTTATTTATTTATTCATGAGAGACACAGAGAAAGACAGGCAGAGACACAGGCAGAGAGAGAAGCTGGCTCCATGCAGAAAGCCCGATGCGGGACTTGATCCCAGGTCTCCAGGATCACACCCTGGGCTGAAGGTGGCACCAAACCGCTGAGTCACCCGGGCTGCCCTTGTTTGTCCTTCTAAGCATAGGGCTCAGGGACTGAGATTTTAGTAAGTTTACAGAGTGGGGAAGTTAATGGAGAATAATTAGGAACCCCCATAGTCTGCAATAAATGCACAAAGCTGTCACTCACTTGTAGGTCTCAAGAAATTCCTGAATTAGCTTAATTCCTTTTGGAGACAGCTGAATTGCTTCAGAGTTTAGCTCATGACTTAGGTACTGCACAATGTCCAGAGATCATTGTAATTTTGCCTTAGAGACTTGGCGTCCCTTTTCAGCTGTTACAGCAAACAAAAGACCCCTCTTTTGTGATAAGCACAGCAAAAGGTCATCTACATAATTACGAAAGGTTCGGTTTCCCATGGAACTGGAGGGGACTAACATCTCCGTGAAGTCACTTGAGAGAAATAAGAGGCGGCCTTGGTGACTGGTCGAGGTTTAACTGTCTAGGTACAGTATCAATCATTTCAGATAAAGGTAAATAGATACTGGCTGCTGATGTCCCCAGGGATACTTTAAAAAAAAAAGAAAAAAGAAAAGTCCAAACAGAGGTGCCCACCAGTGACCTGTGCATCAGATGGAACTTGTGACCTAAGGATGTTTGGGTTTAGAATAACTGGGGAACCAGGAATAACCATCTTATTCATAGCTCTCCAATCCTAACAAACTGCCCTCCCTGTCCATTAGGTTCCAGGATTGACATCGCCTCTAGGAACTTGGGCAGCCATGGTGAGCCCCTGGGCAGTGAGGTCTTCTACGTCTGCTGTTGAGGCCATGTATGGCCTCAGGCTGGAAGGGACCCTGAGGTAATGTAGGGAGTTTACTTATATCTATCCTAATCTTGGGTCCCACGCTTCTTATTCTTCCAATGTAAATAGTCGTAGGAGCCCACAGATTTTCGGGCTCCTCCAATTAAATAAATTTTGCTGGACTTCTCCCTCTTCTGTGCCAAGGACAGCGTATAAGGAACCTGAAAGATCAGGTTTAGGTTGGTCAGGAAAGTCTCAGGTGAACACTCCACTGGCGGCAAGGTGTGTTAGCCCTTTTAATCTAGGAGGGAGATCCCTACCTAAGAGATTGACAGGAACTGATTGACACAACAAAAAGGAATGTTTTTCAGCAAAAGGCCTGAGTCATTCGTACTGGCAGAGATAAAAATTGTCTCTGAATTTTAACAGACGCCCCACCCCACCCCCAACTCTGGAAACCTCCTTTTTACTTTGAGGGATCTGTCATCTTGAGGGTGGGGTTTAAGGCAGAGTGTAACTCCAGTATCTATTACAGTTTGCCAAGGTTTCTCATTAATCTTAACTTTGGCTTTTCCTTGGCAATTTAAGGGAATTTCTGATAATAGCTTTGCAGAGCAGCTTCCAGAATCCCTTCAGCTGTGTGAAGGGCTCTCCTCTGAAGGCCACTATGAGGCCACTGGAGAAGAATTTGCATAGGACCTTTGAGGACAAGCTCTTTTCCAGTGCCCCAGTGGATTACAGCTGCGACCTTGATCTTTGGACCAGCGTCTGGATAATGGACCCTACCTAGCAAGGTACAGTGGGGGAGGCCCAGGTGTTGTGTTGGGTCTCTGGCTTTGGAGCTGTAAAGCTAATAGCTTGGCAGATTTTTGTTTGCAATCTTACTCCAGGGTCCTTTGAAAATGCTCAGCTGTAGTCATGAGTTCAGTCAGACTGGTGGCCTCCCATCCTACTTTCTGCCTTTGTATTGATCCACTAATCTCAGGAGATAATCCATATACAAAGAGGGCAGCCAGAGCAGACTGGGTGACCTTATTTATTGCATGGAACCCCAAATGCCATAGAGAAAGGACTACAAACAGGGTTTAAAGTCTGCCCGAGAGTCATCTCTTTTTGTTTGCAAGTTCATATAACAGACCAATAAAGACGAGCAGGGAAGACTCTAGAAGTGGCTTATAAAAATTTGGCTGTGGGGCACCTGAGTGGCTCAGTTTGGTTAAGCACGTGCCTTCGGCTCAGGTCATGATCCTGGAGTCCTGGGATCGAGCCCATGTCAGGGCTCCCTGCTAGCGGGAAGTCTGCTTCTCCCTCTGCCCCTCCCTCTGCTTGTGTTCTCTCTCTCTCTCTCTCTCAAATAAATAAATAAAATATTTTTTTAAAAATGGTTCAGCTGCTATTTTCTGAGCTTTTGCTGGTCCCTGAGTTGTTGAAGGCCGATGACCTCGAATATCATCTTTGGGGTTTTGCATCCACTTTTGGACTTCACCAGGTCACACCAACATCTGTACAAGCCGATATAGGGTACCCGGGGGTCACAGACCCTGATGATGACTCGAAATTCTTCAAAAAATTTTTGGATTCCTCCCTAGATTTCGGGCATCCTTTGACTCTGGCGTTTAGTTCTGTCTTTAACCAAGGCATAAAGGGTACCTGAGGAGTTCCACCTGCAACCTCAAAGTTTTATTTTAAAAGGAAACTGTCTCATGGTCTCAGAATAGAAGGGCAGTTCAGTCAGACCATTAGTAAAATGCAGGTGGTGCTCGGATAAGAAGGATCAGGGGAGCAGTAGGGGTCATGTCAGTCTTATTTTTGTTGTTGTTTACCTCATGTATTTTTAACCTTTTTTTAAAAAAATATTTTATTTAATCATGAGAGACACAGAGAGAGGCAGAGACACGGGCAGAGGGAGAAGCAGGCTCCATGCTGGGAGCCTGATGTGGGACTTGATCCCAAGACCCCAGGATCATGCCCTGGGCCAAAGGCAGACACGCTCAACCACTGAGCCACCTAGGTGCTTCCTTTAACGTTTTAAAAGATTTTATTCATTTGAGAGAGAGTGCATGTGCGTGCGTGCGCGCACGCGCACACAGACACACACGCACACATGAGTGGGGGAAGGACAAAGGGAGAAGCAGGCTCCCCACCGAGCAAGGAGCCAGATGTGGGACTGGATCCCTGGACTCTGGAATCATGACCTGAGCTAAAGGCAAATGCTCAACCAACTGAGCCCCCCAGGTGCCCCTCTTTAATTTTTTTCTTAGGCTTTTGTGACAAGTCTTTTCATGAAGCTACTTTGGAATCTAAAAGCCTTTGGAAAGCTGCCGCCCACCAACTAAAATGGGCCTCCCATCCTGTGTGTCCAGCTTGGGATCCCTTGCTCTCAAGTGTGTTTCTTAAATGAGCAATCTTCTCTAATCAGAACATTCCCTATAATGGCCATTTTAATTCTAGATTATCTGTTGTACGTTTCTGCCATTTTGCTAGATATGTGCAGTTTCCGAGACTATTGTTCTTAAACATAATATTAGCAGGTGTGCCAAAGGTGGTGCGCTCAACTCTTTGGATATATAAAGGATCCCATTTCTTAATTTAGCTAGGTCTTTGCATTTCCTGGAGCCACACTAATACCAAGGAGGGCCTGGGAGTCTTCTTGAGGTGGCACATGCTCTAACAACCTTTAAATGTTTGCTCTGTGGCCCACCAATTTTTTTGACTTGAGATTCCCATTAGCAACTACCCCTTATGTAATACTCACCTGAGGCCTCCCACTACACCCAGTCTAGCCCAAATTGGACCCAGTCTGACCCTGGACCCATCCAACTTTGGTTAGTAACCACCAACACTGTATGGAATCTGGGAATGGGGGAAAGATTTGAACCAGCAGACCCCAAAGAACGGCGGGCTGATTCCAAACAGCTACCACCAGCAGTTCTCGGTGTGGAATCTGGGGATAGAACCAAGGGCTGGAAAAAAAAAAAAAGAATCAAGGGCTGGGGTTTCGAGTCAAATAGGAAACTGTGGAAAGTCAACTAACTCAGGATCCCAAAGCAAAGATAAAGGAGCTCAGAACTGAGAACTTACCAACAGCTCTTGGAAACAGGACAAGGACATAAAGGGTTCACGGGTGCAGCGCCTGTATTTCTCGTTCTCAAAGTTGCCAGTTTTCTTCAATTCCACTAATGCCATCAAATCTGCTAAAGAACAAAACTTCAGTTGAGTGAATTAAAGCATCTAATTGAATTTATTCGGTGTTTCACAAACATCCCATAGAAGGATGTTCCAGGGGACTGTAGGAAATGGAGTGTTTGGTTATGTACAACCCTAGTTGTACAAGCAGGACAAGAGTTATTTGCAAAAGAAAAAAAAAAAAAAGGATTGTTTCAGACAAGGTGACCTTCCTTTGGGGGGAAGTGCAGGGGTCTTAAGCAGATTACCTCCCTAGTGCTCCTCAGGAAATTCCAGACTGATGAATTTAAAATTCCATTCATAGGAGAGGCCCAAACTGCAGTAGGTATGAGGTATTAAGTCTTTGTGGGGCTTAACGTAAGTGACTCCCTTTTGGATCTGTTGTTTCTTTTGAACAGTCCATATGCTGCAATTATATAGCCATGCTTTTTCTCTCTGACTAATTAGAAGACAACTTGACACTAAAATCTAATCCCAGCAGAACATGTTATCTGGCTATCACTCTTCAGAAAGACAAAAGCAGTCTGCCTAAATTCCCACTACCTTCTTTTCCCACTACCTTCCTTTTTTTAAAAATTCTTTATTTATTCATGAGAGACACAGAGATAGAGGCAGAGACATAGGTCAGGGGGAGAAGCAGGCTCCCTGTGAGGAGCCTGATGTAGGACTCAATCCCAGGACCCTGGGATCACTACCTGAACGGAAGGCAGATGCTCAACCACTGAGCCACCCAGGCTCCCACTACCCTCCCACTACCTTCCTAAGGCAAGTCAAGCCTTAAGAGTTTTAATAAAGCCATCCACATAAATACTCAGCTCTGTTTTCCTATGAGGAGTCAAGAAGGGGGGCTAGCTCCATGTGATAGCTTTCTTGTAGGAAGATGTCACTACCGACCCATAATCAATAGAGCGTGAACTTTGAGTTATGGCTCTGCACTGATCCACATGCATTCATCCAGAGCTTCTAGATGACGAATGATACCTAACTAAACTTCTAGCCTCTGGCTAGTGACCAGAATATAGCTAACTTATCCCTGTAAGGTTTATGGTGTGAGTCTCTGCTAATGGCATCAGCACACTGGCTGTAGACTCTAATTTTCACTCATCTTGATTTGGGAAATGTAAATTCTCTTCTGTTTCATTGTGGGATTAATTTATAGTACTTTATCCCCTAAATCAAACACCCCCAAAACGGTGGCATTTGCAATCTGCAAAAAATTCAATTGACACATATGCAAGTTTGTTTCTTCTTTCCAACAGCTGTATTTCCTGCCCCGCGGTGTGTCAATGCATTTGACAATGCTATTTAAATTTAATAAGTAAAGGCAAATGAAATTACAGAAACGGATCACCATTTTTATGGAAAACCAACTAAACAAATGTTTGGCTTAAAATGTCAGGCCATCATGGAACTTTAATAAAATACTCAAAGTAAATTCCCTAGAGGAGATGAACAATTCAAAAATAGAAAGTTTGAGAAAAGTGCTGATTGATACTTAAAGTACAAGTGGCACTCCATGTCCTAATGGATGAGGAACCATGTTACCCGGTCAGAGGACACCAGTCATGCAATGGGAGTCTCTGGGGCCCAGTAAGCAGCAGCTGTGTGGGATCTGAGACCATGGATGTGAACAACACTGGTCCGTGGGAGTCTACGGGAGAAATTAGTTCAATGTCATGTAGAATGACACTGTACAGGACTTAGGGTTATAAAAATTTTCCAGAATCCTAATAACAGAGTAGTTGGAACCTAGATTGTCTCAACCACAGGATAGCACTGCAGAGAGGCCAGCACTGTATGGCACTGCTCTTGTCTGTTGGGCCTCTCTTGAAGGATCTCGCTTATCCACCCTCCCTTCTCTTGAATTATCAGTGGTTAATCTTATGCTCTTATTTTGGAGTAACTGCTTAGATATGTACCCACTTGATGCTTTGTCCCCAAGCTCTGATGAGGTGGTCCCAAAAGGCTATTTATTCCTTTTTTTTTTTTTTTAAGATTTTATTTATTTATTCATGAGAGACACAGAGAGAGAGGCAGAGACACAGGCAGAGGGAGAAGCAGGCTCCCTGCAAGGAGCCCAATGTGGCCTCAATCCCGGATCCCGGGATCATGCCCTAAGCCGAAGGCAGACGCTCAACCGCTGAGCCACCTAGGCATCCCAAGTTGTCCTTTTTTAGAAGATTTTATTTATTTTTCTGAGAGAGAGAGAACACATAAGCAAGGGGAGAAGGAGGAGAAGCAGACTCCACACTGAGCATAGAGACCAATGAGGGGCTCAGTGGGCTCACTGAGATCATGATCTGAGCAGAAGTCAGATGCTTAACCGACTGAGCCACCCAGGCTCCCCCCAGGGAAAGTTGTTCTTTACAGAAGTCCAACTAATAAATGCAGAAGAAATGATTTTTAAAGAATTTCTGATTACTATTTTATAGCTACTTATGGAATAAAGAGTATAAGGAATGAACCTAAGTGGAAGTTAAAAAGACATTCGATAAAGGATGATGGCTAACTTTGTAACAGAGGGATCACATGGACACCACCCAGACCCACTAAGGAAGCCTAAAAAATGGCACGAGTGTATCATTATATGCCTCACGATGTGATGTACTAGGAAGTATGAAGTTTTCTTGCCCCCAGAATTCAACTCATCTTATCAAGCCAGTTTATAGGGGAAACAAAAAAGTTAAATGACACCAAAGGGAAACAGGACAAATCCAGAATGTAGGTCATTTTCCAGGACAAATGACCCAGTTTCTATAACAAATCAGTGGTCAGGTAAGGAAGAGAATTGTTATAGAATAAAAGAGACTTAAAGACATAACCAAATGAATCATGTTTGGATTCTGAATAGAAGAAGCTAAACTTGGGGTATGGGGGTGGCTCAGTTGGTCCAGCAACTGACTCTTGATTTGGCTTAGGTCATGATCTCAGAGGGGTGAAATCCAGTCCCCTGTCTATGATGGGTGTGGACAGCTTTAGATTCTCTCTTCCTCTGCCCCTCCCACCACACTCCTCTCTCCTCTCTTAAAAAAAAAAAAAAAAAAAAAAAAAGCTAACCATAAAAAGACTACTCTCAGACAATTGGGGAAGTCTGAGTATGGACCTGGTATCAGACGATAAAGAAAAATATTGCTAGGTGTGGTAGTAGCATAGTTATATTCAAAAATATTTTTATTGATTAGAAATGCATACTGAGGGGATCCCTGGGTGGCGCAGCAGTTTGGCGCCTGGCTTTGGCCCAGGGCGCGATCCTGGAGACCCGGGATCAAATCCCACGTCGGGCTCCCGGTGCATGGAGCCTGCTTCTCCCTCTGCCTGTGTCTCTGCCTCTCTCTCTCTCTCTCTCTCTCTCTGTGTGTGACTATCATAAATGAATTAAAAAATTTAAAAAAAAATTAAAAAAAAATAAAGAAATGCATACTGAAATTTTTACAAGTTAAATGACACAATGTCTGGAATTTCCCTGAACATGTTTAAGCAAAACTCAATACACTTAGGTGGATGAAATGAGACTGGCAAAAAAAAAGAAAGGCTAATCGCTGAAGTTTGAGGTTGGGTATGTGGAGTTCACAATATTCTTCTCCTTACTTGGGGATATGCCTGATATTTTCCACAATAAAAGGTTTTAAAAAAAATACCTTTTGCCATAGGCACTTACTCCTTAGGCTAAGAAGAAGCTGAAGTTATTATTACTTGGGAATTAATATTCCTTTATAATGAGAACTCCCCTATAAACACCCCTGGAAGGACATTTGAAAATCAAAACTCGGTTTTCAGTTCCAGAAGTCCATTTTTTTTTCCCACTCATGGCCCTAAAAGGCACCGGTTGGTTTTTCCTCAGCCACATTACCCTCTTCTGTAATAGCTTAATGAGACGCACAGGGTAAATGGAACTCCATTTGCTGCTTTGGCTGCTTGAGAACCATTAAAAGACCCTTAAAAGCATCACTCATGTATTAAGTGAAAGAAAACTCATCATTAAATTAAGGGAAAACAACTCTTCCCACTCAGGAGTTTTTGGTGTTGTAAAGTACCCTAGGTAATCAAACGTGTTCAAGCAAAAATGGTTGTGCTTTGTTGTAGCGTATTTCTAGAGCACAAGGAGAGCTCCCTTAGAATATCCACAATGTACTCTCCTCTTCGTCAATGAAAAAAGAATGGCTTCAGATTAAGAATTAAAATTTCCTGAATCAAAAAGTACTCTAATTAATGATCTGGGCACACTTGTACATTTTGAGCTCAATACTGTAAAGATCTGTGCAGTCCTTTAATTTGGCTCTTACTGCCTTACAGCTAAATTTGGCAGCTTCACTCAAACTCTAGGGTGGCTAATTAACACCCACAACACAATTCTCTCAGCCAGGATTCCTTCAAAAGCCTATCTCCAACCCACCAGACATCAGCTAGGATGTTAACCTAGGCTGTTTTGAGTAATTCTATAATACATCCAACTTTATTGCTAAAAAATCCTAGCCAATGACCCACCATTGCTCTTTTGGCTTTCCTGTGCAATGTCAAGTGCCACTGAGGTCAAGTTCTAAGGACACCTGGCAGAGTGTCCCACAATGTGTTCTGGGAATACCCTCAGCAGAATCAGCCGGTGTGTTAACAATACAGTTTGCTGGGCTCCCTCTCAAGCCTACTAAGTCAGACTATTTGCTGATGAGGCCTAGGTTTCTGCACCTCAAGCAAGAGTGCCAGGTGGTTCTTCCAAACACAATTTGACAACCAAGTTTTCAAAAATAGGAGTTTCTCTCAAGTCTACGAGAAAAACAGGATAGAGCTGACAAGTGAACCAGCATCAGGAGGAAAGCAGCCGGCCAGCATGTGGAACACTCTGTAAGACAACTGGCCCGGTTTCTTCAAAAAGTCAATGGCATATCCATCAGCTGATATATAAATTTAAAAAGGCAGTATATCCAATCAACACAGTATTATTCAGCCATCAAAAGGAATGAAGGAGTCCAGCCCTGCGTAGCACTACTCTTGTCCATTGGGCCTTAAAAAC